TACATGAGGTACAGCAACTGTACAGTGTACATGAGGTACATCAACTGTACAGTGTACAAGAGGTATATCAACTGTACAGTGTACATGAGGTACATCAACTGTACAGTGTACATGAGGTACAGAAACTGTACAGTGTACATGAGGTACATCAACTGTACAGTGTACATGAGGTACAGAAACTGTACAGTGTACATGAGGTACATCAACTGTACAGTGTACATGAGGTACATCAAATGTACAGTGTACATGAGGTACAGCAACTGTGCAGTGTACATTAGGAACAGCAACTGTACAGTGTACATGAGGTACATAAACTGTACAGTGTACATGAGGTACAGCAACTGTGCAGTGTACATGAGGTATAGCAACTGTTCAGTGTACATGAGGTACAGCAACTGTACAGTGTACATGAGGTACAGCAACTGTGCAATGTACATGAGGTACAGCAACTGTGCAGTATGCATGAGGTACAGCTACTGTGCAATGTACATGAGGTACAGCTACTGTGCAGTGTACATGAGGTACAGCAACTGTGCAATGTACATGAGGTACAGCAACTGTACAGTGTACATGAAGTACAGCAACTGTGCAGTGTACATTAGGTACAACAACTGTACAGTGTACATGAGGTACATCAACTGTACAGTGTACATGAGGTACAGCAACTGAGCAGTGTACAAGAGGTATAGCAACTGTGCAGTGTACATGAGGTACAGCAACTGTACAGTGTACATGAGGTATATCAACTGTACAGTGTACATGAGGTATATCAACTGTACAGTGTACATGAGGTATATCAACTGTGCAGTGTACAAGAGGTATAGCAACTGTGCAGTGTACATGAGGTACAGCAACTGTACAGTGTACATGAGGTACAGCAACTGTGCAGTGTAACACAGACCCTCTCACTTTATTTTACAAGTTATTTAGTGACATTTTTTGTTTTGTAATAACATCAAAGAATTGCCTTAATGTTGTCTTCGTATTCTACTGCTTCAAGTTCTCACTGTTAATTTTAATTACGTCAAATTAAAGTTAATTTCATTTCGAGTGTTTTAGACCAAAATTCATTTCATTGAAGAGAAACAACTAAAATGCTAAGACTTTCAAGCATAAAACCAAAAAATTGGACCTTCTTAGAATTAATGAATTTGAGCCGCGTCTTAAATCCGTCAAAAACCGGTTTTAATTAAGCGCAGGCTTAAATCTTGAAACGTTGAATGCACTTTTAAGTGGAACAAACCATATTTGAGTCACGTCTTCAATTTAAGACGTGGCTCAAATTCTTTAAATAAATAAAAGACATTTTCTATTCAATTATTAAAACATTACCTTATACATTATGCCTCCAAATGTGTTTGTGTTCTGTTCGAAACAAAGAAACTAAACACATGTCACAATTTTACCAATTCATATATCTTTGCAACCTTTTGGTGTAAACCTTTGATATTCTAAACTTTGGTCATTTTTACAGAGCAGAAGCAAAATTTAATCAATCAAAGTCTACGAAACAAAAGATACTCATTTGTACGATCGCTTAATCTTGATATCCATTGTGGGCACTTTTAATTTGAGGATCAATGCTTAAGCTCTTCATTTCAGTAATCCGTGGAGGATACGATTACCATGCGGTGTATCGAATGAAGTTTAAATTAATCTGCAGATTAGCAAAAGATCAAGCAATAATATTAGTATCCAAAATGCAAGAGGGTTCACTTTCATATTTCTAAACAGAAATGGTATTTGGGTGTTTTGTAGAGAAGTGATACCTTTAAACCCTCCTGATACAGTTACTAACCCTGTCCCAGCTCCTATAGATGGGTCAGCTCCTAGACAATATTATCCACAAGAAAATGGTAAGTTTAAACTTGAAACTATGTTTTACACTTAAAAGGACTGCTAACGGAATTTATAGAGTTTATGACCGATTCCAAACAGTATTGGATTTTTATTGTGTTTATTTTTTATTAAATGATGAAAAAGAAAATTATCTATTTAAACATGTTGTTAAATTTAAGGATTTTAAGAGTATCGTTGTGCATGAACCCAATGGTTTATTCAATCTCTGTAATATTTTTAATTTTTTTAATTTTGTAAAACGGCATGGTCAAATACTCTTAAAATGTAATAAGCATCTTTTACTAGATAAGATAAGATAAGATAAAGTTTATTGCTTAAATAAATGTATCTGTGTACAGAACGAGTTTATAATTGCAAATTGATGATTTTAACAGTACAAGTATAAAGCAATTAGGGGGAAAATAGCAATTGGCTGTTTTGATTATTTTTTCCACCTAATTTCAATAATGATAACAACACATTTCAATTAAATAGATTACAGGAGAACTATTAGAGATCAGGGTGCGATTTTATCTTATGCAACATATTTCATACATTAATTAGAATAACTAACACCAAATATCAAAGCATATATCTAATTAGTTTTACGTGAATAGCAATTAGGTTTATTACACATTTTAATGTAATTTTCAAATTTTCAATGTAATCTAATAATGAGAATTTACAGGAGATGTATATATAATCCTAATCCAGCTTCCTAATTTAGGATGTGCAGGAGATGTACATACAATCCTAATCCAGCTTCCTAATTTAGGATGTACAGGGGATGTATATACAATTCTAATCTAGCTTCCTAATTTAGGATGTGCAGGAGATGTATATACAATCCTAATCTAGCTTCCTAATTTAGGATGTGCAGGAGATGTATATACAATCCGAATCTAGTTTCCTAATTTATGATGTGCAGGAGATGTATATAAAATCCTAATCCAGCTTCCTAATTTAGGATGTACAGGAGATGTATATACAATTCTAATCTAGTTTCCTAATTTAGGATGTACAGATGTATATATAATCCTAATCAAGCTTCCTAATTAAGGATGTGCAGGAGATGTACATACAATCCTAATCGAGCTTCCTAATTTAGGATTGCAGGAGATGTATATACAATCCTAATCCAGCTTCCTAATTTAGGATGTACAGGAGATGTATATACAATTCTAATCTAGTTTCCTAATTTAGGATGTACAGGGGATGTATATACAATTCTAATCTAGCTTCCTAATTTAGGATGTGCAGGAGATGTATATACAATAATCTAGCTTCCTAATTTAGGATGTGCAGGAGATGTATATACAATTCTATTCTAGCTTCCTAATTTAGGATGTGCAGGAGATGTATATACAATCCTAATCTAGCTTCCTAATTTAGGATGTGCAGGAGATGTATATACAATCCTAATCCAGCTTCCAAATGCTAAAAGGGAGAAGGATCCAGAAACTGCCTCTATCAGGATACTCTCAGAAACATCACTAAATGAACTCTCCAAAAGTGACAGGTACAGGTACAGGTACATGTACAGGTACAGGAACTGGTACAGGTACAGGAACAGGTACAAGTACAGGTACAGGTACAGGTACAAGTACAGGTACAGGTACAGGTACAGGTACAGGTACAGGTACAGGTACAGGTACAGGTACAGGTGTATTTATTTCAAATTTTGACTTAAACGTCATAGTTTAAATTATCAAACGTCAACATTGTAGGTTGCAATGAGATAAAAAAGAATTATAAAGTTATAAAATTACAAGAAGAGTAGTCATGGTTGCTTTGGTTAAAAAAAATATTGAGGGAAAAATGGTGTGACAATTTAATGGAGAACAGTTTCATAGCTTGAAAGTCTTTCTTATATTTGGGAATGATAATGGATATGTGGCAGTTTTAATTATGGTTTTTATTCTTCATGACTCATGAGTCAACTTTATTTGAACTTACATTCGACAATTTTTAATATTTTATATCTACAAGAATTTTTGTTTGAGTTTTTATTTTACATTTAAACTGAGCACAAATATTGTTCAAAATATCAACTTTGAAATAGCGAAGAGAAAATTAGGGGTAGCTGAAATATACATAGTGATTTCAAAATATGTTATAGTCCGATATTAAGAACAAAATAGTTAAGAATTTTAAGATATAGTATTTATATTAAATGTATCAATAAAATGCAATTTCAAATTGTTTCAATTTTGTTTCCTATTTTGAGTTTACATTAAATGCAAATGATATTAGATTAATCTGACTTTAAATTGAACTTTAGTCTCATTTTCAAAATGAAATTTTCTGTTTGAAGTAAACTAAATTTAGGTTCATTTGACATATTTTATATATTGAAATAATAATGCTTTTATAGATTGCAAATATCATGATATATCATTACTTTAAATAAAAAAAATATCAAAAGTACAAAGAAAAGTAAAGTGGGGTAACTTATAAATAGAAAAAAATTCTTGAGGAATTTTCAGAAAAAAAACATATTTCTTCTGACTGCCTTTTTAAACTTCAGCAATGTTGTTTCAGGACTACAAAATAGACAAATTTTATTTAAATTGTAAAAATGCAATTTTTGTTTAAGTGAATAGAAAATAATATAAGAAAAATCGTTTTAGCACTGTTGTTTTAGACAATGTCTGAAATTAATTTAAACCAAAAAAAAACAATCTGTATTTAAGGAGAATAAAATAAAATAAGAAAACATTATTTTTTTCCTTGTGCAACAATTAAAATAACTTAAAAGAGGACTACATGCCAGGACTACATGCCAGGACTACATGCCAGGACTACATACCAGGACTACATGCCAGGACTACATGCCAGGACCACATGCTAGGACTACATGCCAGGACTAGATGTCAGGACTACATGCCAGGACTACATGCCAGGACTACATGCCAGGACTACATGCCAGGACTACATGCCAGGACTACATGCCAGGACTACATGTCAGGACTACATGCCAGGACTACATGCCAGGACTACATGCCAGGACTACATGCTAGGACTACATGCCAGGACTACATGCCAGGACTACATGCCAGGACTACATGCCAGGACTACATGCTTTTTAGAATCAAACGGAATTGTGTGTCTGTGCCACAAACTGAAATGTTTTTATTCTTATATGATTGCAATCTGGTGGCGTAAACCTTAAGATATTGCAAACTTAGATTATTTGATTTAACAGAATTTAAAGTTTGAATTATTTAAGGTCTACCAAATAGGGTTACAAAGATAACGGGTTTAATAAATCCAAGTTTGTGGCACAGACTAAATTTCTGAATTTTTTTGTTATCATTATGATTTCTGAAAAAAAAATCTAAATTTCCATTTTCAGGTCACTCCGCCACAGTCTTGGTGGCTTAAACCGGTTAGAAAGTACAGATTCAAGCTTGTACTCTTTGAACTCTCCAACTCGTGAGCGGAAACAGTCCCTGAATTCACTCTCCAGAAATCGGAAACACTCGCTAGAAGATCGGCTCAGTCTCGATACTAGAATAGTCTCAAAACAGTAAGTTTATTATCAACAAAATTGTAATTAGGAGACTTCACAAAAATTATCTTCAATATCTTTTATATTATATGGATGACCACCATTTTGGAAAAAGCTAGCATAAGCTCTGGTAAAAAGTATGGCAATTAATTAGTAGTTTAAGAAATTAAGTGAGATTAGGACTTTTATGAAAGAGGTCGACATACATTTTGAACTGTCTTTTAGAAAATATCCTGAAAAAATTCTTTCCAAGTTAAAAAAATTATTTAAATATTAGAAAATTCTTTTTTTTTTGTTTATATCTTATTTTTTTGTTTGTCAAGTTGATTTTGATATTTGATATATAACTGAGTAATTTATGTTTTGTTTTTTGGTTCCTCTCGAAAATTGCAAATATGATATTTGGCAATTCCCAATTTATAAGGCTTCTTTTTATATTGTATATTTGGATTTTTAGAAGAAAAAACTGAATTACTTTTTAGCAGATGCCATGCACGTATTTTTTGTTGCTGACTAGAGTAAAAAAGAGGTTAAGCTTTGGAAAATACAAATATGTGAGCGAAGTTTTTTTTACATTCATTTGTTATAAAATTTAATCAAGCGACAAGTCTTATTTTTCTACATGTTTATTAAAATCCGCGCTTTTCAAAGAAAAAAATCATGCAACATAATATGGATTCAATTAAATATCAATTTTTGAATTAATTACTTTTCATTTTGTCCGTGAATAGCTTGAGCCATATATTGACAACTGTAGAATAGTAAAATGACAGCTTACTAATTTTATGTGCGGTATTTTGCTGGTGTTATAAAGATATATACTAGCTTGGGAACCCAGCTTTGCCTAAAATATAGGGCGTTCAAGAAATGTACATCATTTAACATGTTTTTTCATGATATGAATATATATCATAGCATAATCATTATGAACGTATGCTTTAATTACAATTATTGGTTCTTATTAACTTTTTCGGATTTTCATAAATTATATAAAATACAGTGTGTAGTGGATCCAGCACGTTTTAAGTTTCCGGATTGATAAGTATGTATTACACACAAGCTGAAGTGCCAGGCGTTGCCCGTGTAATTTTAAAAGAAATTGAATTTTAAAATAAAATAATTTCGAATTTTGAAGGAAAAAAAATCGGTTCGGTGGGTTACCTCAAAAAATGTTAGCTAATATGGCCCAGCTGTTTGGTCAGCTATATTTAATATATAAGCACATATATGCACATGATCGACGAACTTTACTATATTTTTATGTTTCTACATATTTTCTAGATATGTTTTCTAGATATGTTCGAACAATCCAGAATCCTGCTCCAACCCCTGCCAGTACTTTGGGTCTAAATTACAATTTCCGGGACTAATCAGAAAATTTAAGAAATTTTTGAAAAATTGAATAAGGCTAATATAAAAATTTTCTTGCAGGAAATATAATATTTTTCGAATATTATATATTTATTTTGGCATTAAAGCTTGGAGATAATCTGAAATGATATGGGACGCTCTGTATGCCTCACAAAGGAATGGAGTCTTTCACTCAAACTTGTTATTCCTTATATTTCTTTTTATATTTTAAGCTTAGATTATTTGATTGAACAGAATTCATGGTTTGAAATGTCCAAAGTCTTGATACGATTTTGGACTGCATAGGAATAGGAATTAGATTTTGGACTGCATAGGAATAGGAATTAGATTTTGGACTGCATAGGAATAGGAATTAGATTTTGGATTGCATAGGAATAGGAATTAGATTTTGGATTGCATAGGAATAGGAATTAGATTTTGGATTGCATAGGAATAGGAATTAGATTTTGGATTGCATAGGAATAGGAATTAGATTTTGGATTGCATAGGAATAGGAATTAGATTTTGGATTGCATAGGAATAGGAATTAGATTTTGGATTGCATAGGAATAGGAATTAGATTTTGGATTGCATAGGAATAGGAATTAGATTTTGGATTGCATAGGAATAGGAATTAGATTTTGGATTGCATAGGAATAGGAATTAGATTTTGGATTGCATAGGAATAGGAATTAGATTTTGGATTGCATAGGAATAGGAATTAGATTTTGGATTGCATAGGAATAGGAATTAGATTTTGGATTGCATAGGAATAGGAATTAGATTTTGGATTGCATAGGAATAGGAATTAGATTTTGGATTGCATAGGAATAGGAATTAGATTTTGGATTGCATAGGAATAGGAATTAGATTTTGGATTGCATAGGAATAGGAATTAGATTTTGGATTGCATAGGAATAGGAATTAGATTTTGGATTGCATAGGAATAGGAATTAGATTTTGGATTGCATAGGAATAGGAATTAGATTTTGGANAAGGGTAGATTTATCCG